GCCTCGTGGACTGACCTAGGCTCATGCACCTGACCCATTAGACACACATCAACAGCATACTCATGCCCATGCATGTCCACAAGCATGCAATCATCCAAATCAGACGCAAGATGATCATGCATGCGTGCAATGTGCCCCGGGGTAAACCTTTCAGGTGGCTGGGAAATTCGAGCACTGCGTCGCAGAGGTGTTGCCTCTCCTTCTTCCAGCCTCCGCAGCTTCTCCTCCCAAGTCACCCTCTTCATTGGAGTCCTCGGAGTCTTGGACAGCTGCTGGTCCAACAACTGCTGCCAACTGCTTCTCGATGGAGTTGAAGGCACATGCTGCTCCGGCTGATCATCACGCGCATCGGCCTGCGTGGCTGGCTGAGGGGTAGAATCTGTCTCTCAGGACTCCTCATGGTTAGGATCAGCTGGTTCTGGCTCCTCCTGCTGCTCCTCCCCTTCATCTCCAGGGTCCTCCCATGCCCCCTCAAAGATAGAAGCCGTAAGAGGGTCTTGAATGGAAGTCCCACTTTGGCTTGTACCATGCTCCTTCCACCCCTTAAAATTCAGCCCCTCATGGAAAACCACATCACGGCTCTCCATCACACGCTGGTCAGCTACACTCCACAGCACCCAAGCCTTGCTCCTCTCAGAAACCCCAAGGAAGATCCCCCACTGTGCCTTAGGATCTAGCTTCCTTCTTTGCTGGTCAGGTACCTTATACTGTGCAATGCACCCCCACACTCGTGCCATGGAAACATTCGGCACCTTCCCTGTCCATAAGGAGTATGGGCTCTTGCCTCCAAGCCCCTTGCTGCCCATCCTGTTCTTCACCCAGTTGGCATACTGCACTGCTGCCCCCCACCAAGTGTTATCAAGCTCGGCATGGGAAAGGATGGCCCGAGCCAAATCGGTCAAGGTCCTGTTAAGCCGCTCCGCTGCCCCATTTTGCTGCGGCGTGTAAGGTACAGAGAGCTGGTGGGTAATACCCTTTTCTTCCAAGAAGGTTTGAAGTTCTTTCCCAAGGTACTCTCCACCCCGATCTGACCTTAACACCTTTACCTTGGCCCCTGATTCCCTCTCCACATAGCGTATCCACCGCTTAAACACCTTTGCCACCTCATCCTTGGTCTTCACCAAGGTGACCCAGCTAAGTCGACTGAAGTCATCAAGAAAGGTGACAAAGTACCTGCTGCCCCTTTCCCGGTCAGGAGTTTGCATCGGTCCACACACATCCGTGTGCACCAGCTCAAGGGGAGTCGAGGCATGAGCAGAGGAGATAGGGAATGAGGTTCTAGGCAGCTTTCCAGACGTGCAGTCGGGACATTTGCTCTGCTGCCCAGCTCCTTTCTTGACCTCCACCCCCTTCAGCTCCCCCCTCTTCACACACTCCAGCAGTTGCTGCTTCCCCGCGTGCCCCATGCGAAGGTGTAGCAACTCAGGTGACACCGTTTCCACCTGCCTCCAGCGAGTGCTACAAGCGGCTTCCTCAGAAAAAACCATATGTGCCTTGTAACAATTAGGCACACAAGCTGGAACAAGGTATAAACCCTTGTCCAGCTTTGCCTCCATCACCACAGCTTCACCCTTTCTAACAGTACACCCTCCCTCCGTGAAAGTGCAGATGTATCCCTGTTTAGCCAGCTGCGAGCATGAAAGGAGGTTTGCAGCCAAACCAGGGACGTGAAGGACCCCCTTCACACCCACTAGCTCCCCCTCCTTCCCCTTAATGGTGATCGTGCCGATGCCAATTGCTTGCAGCAAATCTCCGCTCCCAACAATCACGTTCCTCGAATTTGGTGGGAGAGGATGGTAAGAGGTGAAGAGATCACGGCGAGGAAGCATCCCAGATGTTGCTCCAGAGTCTAGAACCAGGAAGTTGGGATCAGCCAATGCATGACCAGCGAGAGCTGCATCCTGCCCTAGCATGAGAAACGAGAAACCATCATCGGAGGAGTCGTCTTGGCCCTTCCCCTTCTCATCCTTAGCAGCTGCGGCCGTTGCTCCCTTGCTGCCCTTCTTATTCCAGAGCCCCTTCTTCATCCTTTTCTCCACCCAATCAGGTTTGGTCACTGGTGGGGCCTCTCCAGAGTAGCCGTGAGGCTTCCATCCCTCAGGCCTACTCCAGCAACTCTTCCAAGAGTGTTTTTTGTTGCATCCGGGCACAAGGCATTTGTCCAACTCTTTCTTCTTCCCCCCACCTCCTTGCTGTTGATAGCCTTTCCTGAAGGAAGCTTTATCTGCTGCACCCATGCCTCCTTCTAGACCTCTTCCAGCATCAACCTTGCGAGCCTCATCAGAAATTAGAACCTCGCAAATCCACACCTTGGTCCATTTCTGTTGCTCGAGGTGAAGGTACTGTAGTAATGCCTCATTAGCTGCTTGATCCAACCCTTGGAGTGCAGTATAGATGATCTCCTTCTCATCTACCGTGTAATCCAGCTCCTCCAAAGCCCGCACATTCTCATCCACCCTCTGGAGATACTAAACCATGGTCTCCCCCTCCCCATAGTTCCGCTCCATGGTGTAAAACCGCTTCCGCCAAGTAAGCACGCTTAGAAGCCCTTTCTACAAGTGCCTATCTTGTACTCTTTTCCAAGCTGCAGCCGCTGCACCTTCCTTCCCCTTCAGGTCAATCAGCATCTTAAGAAGCTCAAGTTGCCCCTCCAAAGCCCAACACAGGTACTGAAAAGCCTGGCAATCCTTCCGATCCCATGCTTCTTGAGCTTTGAGCAACTCCTCGCTACTTGGTTGCGACCTTCCGGTTCGGGTTGCAGCAGTTCCTCCTTCCTTCACCCCACTCAACGACGCTCCCCCAGCTCCGGATCCCACTTGGCTGGTTGCTCCAGTAGACGCCTCCCCAGAGTCAGCTCGTGGTCGCTTCTCCGATCCATCCAACACACTTTCTAGGTCCTTAATACCTAGCCATAGTGTGAACTGGAACCTCCATAGCGAAACGTCCGAGCCGGTAAACCTAGGAGGGCCATCCAACTTTTGGGCCATGTCAAACCCTAGATCTGGAGCACTTCAAGCCTCTCTAGATCTCTTCCAATGGAGGAAAGAACGTCCTCTAACCGTGGCTCTGATACCACTGATGGAAATCGTGCAAATCTGGAGAGAACTAATTAGAGATTAAGTCTGACGACCTCAACGAATCATTGCGTGCTGCTCAGGTAACTTCTAGAAATGAGCTTATACGCGTTGGAAAGGTCTTAATCTCTACTTTCCAGAATAGTAAAGCACGTTCATAAACAAGATCTGAGCCGCCGATTATGACGAAATCAGTGTGAGGGGGTCTTCTGGTAATTTGGCTAGGCAGCCATGAATCACCTAGTAAAAACGAGAAGGGAAGCAGTTCGATCTGGAAAAGTTGGGGTATTTGATTGTCAAACAACACCAACCCTCGCCTTGAACCAAACCCTAACACTCCCAAGTGCCACAGCTGCAACATCAAAGATGTTGTAGTGGGTATGGGGTAGTATGGGTTGGAAAGGTAACGAGATCAAACCTAGCCAACCAAACCAATTCTTTTGCCCAAATCCCAATAGCCCACAGCCAGCTAGAGCAAATCACACCACAGAACACTACACATTTATCAGATGAAACCCTCCTTACAGTGACGCGGGTGAAAGGAAGAGAAGGGAAGATAGAGGTACTTGTTCATCGGCTTTTGGAAAGTACCGAAATCCAAGAAACCCAGCTCCTTGAAACGAGGTCCCTTGTAGAGGACCATGTCGAGGAAATCCATAGAGCTGTCCGAAACGGTCCACGTAATCCTAATGTTAGGATCAAGCGCGTTGAAGGTCCGAAGGTAGTCTTCCAGTTCTACCTGCGTCCCTGGCTAGATAATAAGGCCGTCATCGATGTAGCGCACGTGGAAGAGAGGCTGTCTGGAAAAGCCGGTCCCCAAGTCGACTGAAGAAAATGCAGCTGCTGCAGAACACTCGGCGTCGGGTCCGTCGGAGTCGGCAAGTAGACAGCGTCGTCCGAGAGATGTTCCATCACCACATTGACGTAGTGGGCATGATCGAGGACCGTCATGCCGAGGTTCTTATCTGCGGGCTTTGTTGTGTGATGTCATCATATGCTATCACATTCTGTCTGCCTCTCATCTCTTGTTTCAATTCGTATGTATGGTTTGACTGTGTGTGAAAGAATTTGTGTGTGGTGTGTTCTGGAGTTTGGGAATGTGTTTTGTGTTATTCTGTCTGAGCAGGTATTTGTGATGATAGATCTTGAGAAGATCTTTCCGACGCAACAAGAATCGCTTCAATCGGAGCAAGAACGCGAAAGCTATGAAGATTCAAAGTTTATGAGCTTGCGTTACAATTGCGGCGGTTACAAAGTGAAGTTGTGGGGTGACTTTATATGGAGTTGGGACCTTTGGGGGTTGGGGAAATTTGTCACTCACTGTAACAGCTGCAAATTGGTTGGGAACAACCAAGCTAGGTTGGCAATGGTGGCCAACTTGGATGGATTGGTTGGGAAGGGACAAATGTCAAAATTGGGGTTCCTATAGGGAGGGAATCTTTGTGCTTATGGGGTTTCCTTGGTTGGGGACTCTCTTGGGACCTTCCCTCTCGTCCCTCTCTTTCTATCCCAACCTTTCTCTTGCTCCTCTAATTCCTTGTGAGATTCTTGAATTTTGATTGAACTCTTGAGATTGAGTTAAGTTCTCCTCCTACAGCTTACCCCCTAGTGCGTCGAAAGCCATAGCGTCGCGAATACTTCATCAATCAACATGATTCAAATTGGGAACGGTAGCTGAGATTAGGAGCTACAACATATCGAAGTTTCGCGACATCCCAACGGCTGGTTTTTTGTCGACGTCGTTTCTTGTGAAGACGACTTTTCTGTCCAGAATTTCGGATTTATATTTTGAGTAATTCTAGCTCCTAAGTTCACCTAGACTCCGTCCTTAATCATAACAAGTGGTATCAGAGCAATATTAAGGACATTGAGAGGAGTCTACAGAAGTTTGAAGACCCTTCTAGACCCACCATGGCCTGTGGGTGTGCCTAAGTGGTGTTCTAAAGGTTGGATGTGTCTTCCGCTAAGGGGAAACTCTGCCGAAATTTCGTGGACACCGACACTTGTGAAAATATCGCGGGAGCTGTGTGTGGACAGCAAAGGGGAGCTGAAATTCGTCATTTCTCAAGGAGAAGATGAATGAGAGAGGAGGAGATGCTAATGGAAGAGGAGCTGTACCTGAGAAGCCAAGTGAGCCGCCGCCATCAAAAGTTGACGCTTTGGATGGCTCCAACTATGAGGAATGGAGCGGACGGATGAGGAGTGCCTTCAAACGCTACAAGCTCCTGAAGATTGCTGTTGGGGAGGAGAAGATGCGGGAGGAAGACGAAGCACGCGAACGGTAGATTGAGAAAAGCGCGGTGCTTTTCGACCTCATTCTTCAATCGGTCAACAAGGAGATGTTCGAGCACATCAAGGATCTTGTGGAAGCGGATGATTCGGGTCAAAGGGCGTGGAAACTACTACGTGATGTGATTCAGCCCAACACTCTCCCAATGGTGATCGTGCTCGAGAAGGAACTTGCTGCCATCTCCATGCGACCAGGGGACGATGTGAAGCCGGTCCTTGACAAGATCAAGGACACCTATGCAAGGATGGCAGCAACGGGCAGCAGTGTATCTCAGCTGCAGCAGTGCACCAAGATCATCTCGGTGTTGGACAACTCTTGGGACAACCTCATCCCCACCCTCAACTCTCAGCAAGATCAATGGACACCTGAGTGGCTAAGGCAGCAGATTCTGCAGGAGGACTTCCGCAGACGCCATATGGGAGGCGGTGCTGCCACGAAGACTGCTGAGGGGTATGGAGCTGCAGGGCGCGGCAAAGGAAGAGGGGGTTGGAGAGGCCGAGGCCGTGGGAGGAGCTTTGGCAGAGGTAGAGGCCGAGGTGACTATAATGAGGGGCATGGAAGCTCCAGTGGCAGGGGGAGTACCAGAATGGAGGGCACCTGCTGGTACTGCAAGAAGATAGGGCATCCTTGGTTCAAGTGCTTCAGCAGGCCGGAGGGATGGGCACCTCCAGGCATGAAGCCGCCCAGTGGTGAACGCGCACAAGGTGGCGCTGTGCAAGGCTCAGGTGCACAAGGTGAAGGTGCACAAGGTAATGCCTATCCTGGTTTGTTTCTCATGGTTGAGGATGTGCATGGGCATGAGGGTGATGTGGGATCTGTGGGAAAGGTTGTGATGCACCCTCTCACGCACTGGGTGATTGATTCGGGTTGCACCAGTCACATGACCCCACGGGCAGATTTGCTTGATGAGGTAAAACCCCCTGGGAAGATCAAGTATGTGGCAGCAGCGTCAGGTGCTTTGCTCCCTGTCATTGGTGTTGGAAATGCCAAGGTTAAGGGAGCTAATGGGGAGCTTGTGGGGCTTGGGAATGTTCTGCTGGTTGAAGGCTTGTCTGCTAACCTTCTCTCTGTGCGACGACTGCAGAAGAGCAAGGCCGAAGTGACCTTTGGACCAACCAGCTGCTGTGCTAAGCTTGGGAAGAAGGTGCTGTGGAGTCTGGAAGAGGAGACCAGCTGCATCAAGGACCTGTGGCAGCTGCCCATCATCCCATGGAATGGGAAGACTCCAACAGCAGCAACGGCAGCAGCGGCAAAGGCAACAGCAGGAGGAGATGCAACTGCACCAACTGATGGGGTCCTGGAAGCAGTCAAGAAAGTGCAGCAGCAGCAGACACATGGCGAGGTGCTTGCTGGTGTGGATGCGAGTGCGGCATGGGCTAAGGCTTCATCAAGGAGTGGAGAGGCCAATTGGGAGACATGGCATGAGAGGCTGTGTCATGTGAACTTCCCTATGCTGCAGAAGTTGGTGAAGGATGGGAGCCTGAAGGGCTTGGAGGTGAAAGGGGGAGTCAAGGAGATTGGGAGCTGCCCTACATGCTTGGAGACCAAGTTCTTCAAGTTCCCCTTCAACAGCACTATAGGACCAGCCAAGACCCCACTTGCACTTGTGCACATGGATGTGGTGGGGCCCACAAGAGCCCCTTCCCTCTCAGGCAGCCGCTATTTCTTGACAATTGTGGATGACCACACTCGGGCAGTGTGGGTTTACCCTTTGAAGAGCAAGGGGGAGGTGGCAGCGGCTGTCCTTAAAGAGTGGATGCCTAGAGCTCAGAGGGAATGCGGATACAAGGTGAAGGTGATCCGCAGTGACAATGGTGGGGAGTTCATTGGAGCTGATTTTGAGGGGGAGTTGAAGAGGAAGGGGATCCAGCATCAACTGACAGTGCCCTACAACCCGCAGCAGAATGGCGTGGCTGAGAGATTCAACAGGACCCTGCAGGAGGGGGCACGCACACTCCTTGGGCGTGCAGGGCTGCCTGATCCGTTTTGGGTGTCTGCACTGAGGCAGGTCGCCCTTGTGAAGAACAGGGTGCTGGCTACAGTTGGGGATAAGGAGTGGATCCCATATACCAAGTGGTATGGGAGTGCTCCAGCTGTGAACATGCTGAGGGCATTTGGGTGCATGGTGGTGTTTCATGTGCCTAAGGAGAAAAGGGGGAAGTTGGAGGCTTCTGGAAGATGGGGTGTGCACTTGGGGATTGCAAAGGATCACAAGGAGTGGCTGCTATGGGACTTGACCACCCAGAAGTTGACAGTGTCAAGGGATGTGAAGTTTCTTGAGTCCCTGTACTACAAGGAATGGAAGCAGCAGCAACAGAAGCTTCCATCTACACCGCTCATTGTGGAGGCAGATGAGGTGCAGCAGCCTTCAAGACAGGTGGAGGTTGCAGTGTCAGAGGAGGAGATGTCTGGGGTGACTGAGGAAGGGGGAGCAGCTGAAGTAGAGCAGCAGCAGGAGCAGCAGCAGCAGCAGCAGCATGAGTCTCCACCTCGAGTTCCACACCCGCCTGAGCTTCCTAGGAGGGATGTGCGCCCTCCAGTGAGGCTGACCTATGGGGGAAGAGGCAAGCCGAATGTGGTGCAGGCTGGGAGTGTGGTTGAGCAGATTGAGGAAGATGAGATCGCTCACTGCTACTGGGCACCAATCCCTGAGCCCAAGACTCGAGAGGAGGCTTTGAATGGACCAAATGGGGAGAAGTGGAAGGCGAGTGAGGATGAGGAGTTCGGGTCCCTAATTGAGAACGAGACATGGGACCTGTGTGACTTGCCTCCTGGAAAGAAGGCAATCACTTCCAAGATGATCTACAGGCACAAGTATGGACCTGAAGGGGAGCTGACCCGCTACAAGTCTAGGCTTGTGGCACGGGGGTTTCAGCAGACAAAGGGGAAGGACTATGATGAGGTGTTTGCTCCTGTGGGGAAAGGAACAACACTGAGGGTGCTGTTGGCGATAGCTGCACTCCTGGGATGGAAGATTCGGCAGATGGATATTGTGACTGCCTTTCTGAATGGGATCATTATGGAGGAGGTGTACATGAAGCAGCCAGAGGGGCTGGATGACGGGAGCGGCAGGGTCTGCAGGCTGAAGAAGGCCATCTATGGCCTTAAGCAGGCGCCTCGTGCATGGTATCACAAGTTGGAGGAGGCGCTGTTGGCTGGGGGTTTCAAGAAGAGTGAGTGTGACCCCAGCCTGTTCCTGCTGCAGGAGAAGGATGAAATCCTCATGCTCTTGGTGTATGTGGATGATATCCTTCTCTTTTCTGCATCCACTGCTTTGCTGGACAGCGCAGAGCAGATGCAGGAGATGCAGTTCAAGTGCTCCAAGATGGGTGAGGTGAAGTACTACTTGGGGATGCACGTGGAGAGAGATGTGGAAAAGGGTGTGCTGAGGTTGCACCAGAGGAAGTACTGTGAGGGGCTGGCTGAGAAGTATGGGCTGCAAGATGGGGGAAAGCCAGCAACACCACTACCTTCAGGGTTTACTGTGGAGCCATGTGCTGATGAGGAGGTAGTGGGTGAGAGTGACAGGAAGCTGTTTCATTCGATGGTTGGGTCGCTGAATTATGCTGCAAATCATACACGGCCTGACATTGCATTTTCTACATCACGGTTGGCTAGTGTGGTCTCACGCCCTAGTCATGAGCAGCTGGAAGCGGCCAAGAGGTTGGTCCGCTATGTGAGTGCTACGGCATCAGTGGGATTGGAGTACAGTGGAGTGAGGCAGCGGTTGCAGAGAGGTGCTGCAGATGTGAAGAGTGGAGAGATGCTCTTGAGTTGCTATACTGACGCTAGCTTCAACTCAGTGAAAGCGGATGGCACCAGCATTGGGGGTTATGTGTGCTTGCTAGGAGGTGGTGCTGTGAGCTGGCGCAGCAAGAAGCAGAATGAGGTGGGATTGTCCTCATGTGAGACTGAGTACATGGCCTTACACCATGGGGCCAAGGAAGTAGTGTGGCTAAGGCGTTTGTTGGAGGAGTTGGGAGTTGGTCAGGAGAAGCCGACAGTTGTGTTTTGTGACAATGAGTCCGCTGTGAAGCTCGCCAAGAATGCTTGTCTGCATGGGCTGACAAAACACATAAGGCCTAAGTGGCATTGGGTGAGGAGACTCCTTGATAAGGAGGTGCGGCTGGAGATAGTGAAGACCCATCAGCAGGCAGCAGATATTTTCACCAAGCGTCTGGCGGAGGCGGATCATTGGAAGGGCATAAAGCTTGCTGGGATGAGTGTGCATTGAGTATGCATGCTTGAGATGTTGGTATGGTGGTTGATGGTTGGCAGCCAGAGGGGGAGATTGTTGTGTGATGTCATCATATGCTATCACATTCTGTCTGCCTCTCATCTCTTGTTTCAATTCGTATGTATGGTTTGACTGTGTGTGAAAGAATTTGTGTGTGGTGTGTTCTGGAGTTTGGGAATGTGTTTTGTGTTATTCTGTCTGAGCAGGTATTTGTGATGATAGATCTTGAGAAGATCTTTCCGACGCAACAAGAATCGCTTCAATCGGAGCAAGAACGCGAAAGCTATGAAGATTCAAAGTTTATGAGCTTGCGTTACAATTGCGGCGGTTACAAAGTGAAGTTGTGGGGTGACTTTATATGGAGTTGGGACCTTTGGGGGTTGGGGAAATTTGTCACTCACTGTAACAGCTGCAAATTGGTTGGGAACAACCAAGCTAGGTTGGCAATGGTGGCCAACTTGGATGGATTGGTTGGGAAGGGACAAATGTCAAAATTGGGGTTCCTATAGGGAGGGAATCTTTGTGCTTATGGGGTTTCCTTGGTTGGGGACTCTCTTGGGACCTTCCCTCTCGTCCCTCTCTTTCTATCCCAACCTTTCTCTTGCTCCTCTAATTCCTTGTGAGATTCTTGAATTTTGATTGAACTCTTGAGATTGAGTTAAGTTCTCCTCCTACAGCTTACCCCCTAGTGCGTCGAAAGCCATAGCGTCGCGAATACTTCATCAATCAACATGATTCAAATTGGGAACGGTAGCTGAGATTAGGAGCTACAACATAT